ACGATAACCGGATAGCGAGTGTGGGCTCGACTGCAATGCACTCCTAATAGACTTGTTTATAAACAACTCATTAATTGAATTGTAATTATGTATTGATATTTGTTATTAGGAATCGACCCCTCATTGCAAGAGTTTAGCAAAATTAAGACATTGTTTAGTGATTTGTTAATAAGTTTTATGATTTACTTTTGAAAGTATTGTTTGCATTGAATATGACTTCAAGTGCTTTAAGCGAACGTAACATGAATTTAGAGATCATTATTAGTGAAGAGTATGTGAGACAAGACATCGACCGAAGTATGGATTCGTATATTACTTTCATTAACACATTTTTACTAAACTTTTGAATTGTTATAAACTTTTTAATAAACAAATTGAAACTCAATATGTGTTTAACGATTGTCTTTCATGTCTTTGATCAGTGGAAGCGTTGACCGCAAACATTGCAAACAAAACACAAATTTCACAAATCGTTGACTTCTTGACCAAAACTATTTCTCTCAAACATTTCAATCATTTGAAGCGAATTAAGTCTAAAGACAATTGTTTTGAAGTAATTGTTGGCATAAATGATGATAACAGCAAACCATTGCTCGAAGAGATTCATGAATTCTTGTGTCAATACAATTTACTTCCTCTTAAGACGACAATTGTGCCAAAGAATGCGCCGAAGAATCAAATCCAATATGAATTGAGTGCCAATCTTTGGCCAATTAGTTATCATCCAAACAAATAGTTTGTTATTTATTTGAAACTAACTTTTATTTATTAAAACAATTAATTTTTGCATTAAAAGTATAGAGAAATGTTTGGATTCGACTCTCTTTGACACAAACGCCAGAAAAACTATATTTGAATTCATGTTAAAAGTAATTGAAAGGAGAGATAAATGTATTGAGAATAAACCGATGGTTACATTGGTTGCCGATTCCAGTCATCAAATATTAACAGTTTGTGAATCTGATGTCAATTGCCATCCACTGAAGCATTCAGCTCTTGTAGCCATTGATAGCATCTCTAAAATGCAAACCTTTTGTGATAGAGACGAATGTGAGAAGAATATAAGAGATGAGAGCTATTTATGCAATGGTTGTGACTTTTACATGAGTGCTGAGCCGTGTATTATGTGTGCCATGGCTTTAGTCCATTCAAGAATTAGAAGACTATTCTTTTTAGAGACAAATTGTGGTCAAAACAAATCACACAATGATTGTTGTGATAGAGCTATAACTATACATAGATTTCATTTATTGCCTAAACTTAACCATCACTTCGAGTCGTGGAAAATATTTTTTAATTGATTAAAAATAAAGTTAATTTCATTAAATATTTAATTAATGGTTTAGAATTCACAATAAAAATATTTTATCCTGAATTTCAACAACATTTTATTATCTTTAAAGAATCATATTTTTATTAATTTATTTTTAGTGAATATTTATGACATTCATTTATTTATAACAATTTCTTGTAATTATAATGATATTGAGATTATTTCGATGAAATGTATAACATTTTCATTAATTTGAATGCAATCACAAACTGGAAGACATGGTTTCACATCAAATTGCAGTTATGTTTATGTTTGACTAAATTTTCTAAACTTTCTATTGGTTTCTAATTCTTAATGTTTAATATAACTTATTTTTCATATAATTAACTTTTTTTGTTAAATAATCATGATGGTTGTGTTTATTAATATTGTATTCAGTAGTGGTTAAGTATTGTTGTGTTTGTTATAAAATATTTAACGCAAATTATATAAATTATAATATATTTTACAATTAGTCTAATATTTTTACAAAAGATGACAAGAATTAAATAAAATCAATATAAATATCACTCAAATCTATTGATTGGAAGACAAGACAGGAAATATGTTTTGTGTCCTAATTATAGTTATATAATATTGATAGTCGAATGAATCCATAGATAACTTAATGTCAGACATAATGGAAGACAAAAGAAGGCAGTATTAGCTCACAAGCTATCGGAATGTTATATGAAATGATTGAAATATTTAGCCCATAGTGTCGTAATCAACTCGTCTGACAAACCAAGACCTATAGACTGCATACCCGACCACCACTAGAATGGATACCATGATTGTAATGCTTCCGACGATAACGGGAACGGAATCGTCCTGTTCTAGACTGAAACGGATGGGCGGAAACGCCTGAACTCCAGAACCAAAGCCAACAGAACTGCATCTAACCATTGGTGCAAATTTTCCAGACTCTATTTGAAACGCCTGTATTTGAATGTTTGTCAAACGCAAGACAACCGTTTGTTTTCCCGTTTTAGACTCAAATAGATTGATGACTGGCGGTGAGGGACACAGATATGATTTGCCGAGTTGTGTAGTGAACATACCGAGGCTTCCCTCCACAGAACGAGCAACTTTTTTGCCACCTTTAATCACAAGTTATTTACTATACTTGTTCTTACAGTTATCATAATATAGTAAGTCTAACCTTTGGTTGAGCCCCGAAATAGCGAATCAGCCGTATTGTACAACAAATCAATTGAATTTATTCCCCAATTAAGTTCTCCAACCTTTAAAGTAATACTTTGTCTTTATATAAATGAAAATCATTTTAAACAATTTAAATGTAGAAACCTTTTCAAAAATCATTCTAAAAGTAAAGCCTCCAATCCATGAAACATCCAAAACTAGTAAATTAATAAAACAATGAGTAAATGAATAATTTGGAAATATCTACTATAATATCTAACCCGGCTTTTCGTCCAATAGGTAATCGCATCTGCCTTTACTCGTCGCGTCGATTGGGATTCTGTCAATCAATACCTGTGTAATTAAATTATAGTTTATTAATAAACCTATGGTTAGTTTATTAGCAAACCTGTGTCCCTCCTTCGATATCATAGGTTATGGTAAATGAAGCCTCGATTTTGGCTAAAATGCAAATCAATCCGTTTTCATCCCAAGTGGTGAATGTAAAGGCAGGCGCGGGCTGTTTGGTTGGTAACCCTAATACCACTGTTGGCTTCGGACTTGATATGGGCGCCGCCTAAGTGTATGGCATTCATAATATCATACATTGTCTTATACAGTATTTATTACAATATGTATTAATTGTTATAAACATACTCTTCGTTGTCTGATTATAATGTCATCCGTTTTATTGCATTTTACAGGTGAGAGACAAACGCAAACTGAAATCATATTTATAATTATTATCATTTTAAAATTATTATTCAAATATTTTTGCTATTAAATACACTTACGTTTTATAAATAAAATAAATATGAAATAAAAATAAGACTTAAAATTTAAATTTAGATTCATTTTAACGATTATATTATACCAAAGAATTGCTGAAAACGCGAAGCAATGTATTAACAGAATACAGAATATTCTGTTTTGAATTCTATTTTGTTCAAGAATGCAAAAGATGTCACTCTATGTTAGCATTCATTGCGTTACTAATTATAGTAGTGTAGAGTATTATCATTTTAAATGATTCATTTACAATATTACCATGCTATGTTACAATATATTTAATAATCAAATTAAGTATTGATTTAATTAGAGTCTAAATGAGTCTAATTATTAGACATTAGTTTATTTGAAAATCTAAATAGCAAAATATTTAAACATTTAAACTTTTATTTATATTTTTGGTTTTAAAATTTTGAACAATTTATAAATTTAAGTATTTTATGAGCGATATTAATATAAAGAGAAAAATTTTAATTAAAATAAATAAATATTAAACGAAACGTTTCGATGAATAAATAAATAAATAATAATAAATAAGTTTTTTTGTTGTATTTTAACCAAATATAAAGGCCATTTCATTAAGGGCAGTTTAGGCACTTGACAAACTTATATCTCTGTTTAGGTACACGACAGTGAAGAGCCCGCTGTAGTGACTGGTATAAAGGTTTGTTAAACTGGACTTCTGAGACAATGACAGCAATTATTTCGCCCACAACTCCGCCGACGGATTGCAGTTTTCCCTTCTCTTTCTTCTCGGCGTCTGTTTTCAATTCTTTGTTGAAATCATTATTGATTTGATGTAAACGCAAAACATTATACATTTCGTGTTCTTTGCGAATACTTTCTTTATTCTT